TTAACTCTTTTACTTTATGTGATTTTTAGGCAACTGCACAACCAGGAGGACAAGCAAGGGCAAGAGCAGGTAACTGTAGCAATAGTTTTTATTTATTATTTTTATTGTCCATCATGTTATGTTTTTGCTGTTTCTAGSAACTCTTCCAACTACTCCAACCAAGAAACAACAATACCTAAAACTTGCCCAGGGAAAGAGACCAAAGTGGCACCTAGGTAATGTCTGTAATATTCAATTGCTTGTCAGTATTCATTGCCAAAATGGTTGCTGCTTGTTAGCAGCATAGTTATTTTTTCGATACAAAAATAAACACCGAAATTCTTAAGAGTATTTTTATGTATAGTAACTTTATTATTGTTCACTATCAGGGATTCGATCACAGAGTAAACCCAATGATATCATGTCTGAAGTTTATCGTGCCATGGTTATGCTTGGCTATGTAAGTATATTGATTAGTTTTACTAGTGGCTTGTTGGTTCAGTATCAGAATGATGAATACTTTTTCATTTTCTATTACCAGGAATGGAAGTTAATCAATCCTTTTCACCTTCGAGTTTTGGGCAAAAATAAAGTCTCTGGTAAAATTGTAAGTTTGTATTCTTTCAACATTCATGTGCAGGGATTTAGCTGTGTTATATTGCTGTGAGTTAGCTACGATWTTGCTAGATCTTTTCCACCCTTARCAACACAGTGATTTTGAGTGGAGGTAGTTCATATGTTGTCAAGTAAACATTTTTTTAGCTCACTTTGAATTCATCTTTTSTTTCAGACAAAAATAAGYTTGCAGCTTTATCAGGTTGATCATAAAAGTTACTTGTTGGATTTCAAAAGCCTTGCATCGCCATCTACTGCTCAGGAACTGTCTATTACTGGTGAATCATCACGYCGGTCTTCAGCTAATTCCTCTTGTAGCAGTTTGAAAGACTATGCAGGYCATTCAAATGAACAGGTTTTTTCRTSTWCAGTGGGTCATCATACTCTGGACTTTCTGGARATGTGTTCGAATCTRATCATAGCTTTGGCTTGCTGARGAGGTTGTCTTTGTGCAATYTYGGTRAATKTTAATTTTGATGRAGGAAAACTGCTGTTGRGRGCAGGGGTGGGTTTCAGCGATTGTTGTAAATACATGTTTGTCCAAGGGCTTAAAAAGCTAAACAGTGTTTTATTATACGTTTTGAAATGTTGGTTGAATAAGTACAACTTATTGGGATATAAATAGCTATGTAATAATAATTTATTATACCAAAAATCTCCACTGTCTGATCAAGGTCTGATTTTGTAACAAAACTTTGAAACTATGAAGGTGTCTGCAATGAACTGCAAAATAAATGAAAAGATCTGTATTTACCTTTGCACCTTGGTTCAATGCTCCAATGCCTTATTTGTGGTCATGAAACCTGTGTAAGGAGTATGGACAATAGGTATATGCTAGAGTGATTGTCAATTGTCTGTGAAAGAAGCTCTAGGGGTGTATAAAAAATGGTAAAAGCATGGAAATGATACCAAAGAAAAAAACTACATTCCTTTGTTTTCTACTTTAGTATTATTTGATTATCACGCTTTTAGTATTTACAATCTAGTTAATGGATGACAAAAGAAAAGAATGAAACCAATGAGCTAGAAATTTACTCAACATATCTTTGCAGGCCATTCTTTCACAGAAAATGGAACAAATCATCGATCCTAATACTGATCATTCAGATATCATGTGAGGAACATAGTTTACATAATTTTATGGATTTGAATTAACAATTGGAATAAAAAAATGATTTAGTAACTTATTGGTACACTTTAAAGTTTTATAATCTTTTGTGTAACTTTTGAGGTGAGTTGCGACTC